TCCACGGCGACAAACGCTACGTGATGTTTTTACACAAATTTATTACGTAGTTATGCTTAGAAAGATACAACAAATTTATCAAGTCGTATATAAATTTGGCAGAACAGCAAAAGAAAGTGGTATCGTAAAAGATATACGTCCCTTTTTTTGTGCAGCCAGAATGAAAATAAAACTCCCATAGAAAAGTCATTATGGATGTGTCATTCGTTCACTATTTTAGTAAATTGCGAGACCGCGATTTTTTTTATTGTACGCTGAACTTTCAGTGGCAGTTAATAAAGTGAAAAACAAGGCAAGAACAAAAAATGCCACCGTCTGACATAAAAATGTAACGATTGGGGTTTGGCATCAAAAATATAAACAGCGGAGCGTACCTTAGCTTCAGTAAACAGCGAAATATCAAGTTACAAATTTTGAAGAGTTAACCGAAGTGAATTTTACGAGCGATTTAATTTCACAATTGCTAGCGTTACGTGTCGTCAATAAACACAGGGCGCATGCATGTGTTGTAATCGCCACCGACTGAGGGCAATTAACGATTGCGAAGTCTTCGTTGGTCTACTTTAAATGGCCGTCCAATGAAATTCATCTCCTTTAAACGCGTAAATCATCCCTTAAATACTATTCGGAAGCTCGCCAGTGGAAGTGAAAAATTTGAAACAAGAGAGAGATATAATGCGAGTTTTCCAAATAAAAAGTTGATTTCATGCTGAAAAATGTACTAATTACAATGTACAACAGCTGGGGGCTATCGATTTTTAAAGTTTTTGCTCAAATTAGTTCGCTAACGGCGATGTAATAATAATAAAATCTGATGGAACGACAGAAAATGTTGCCCTAATTTTACTGTACCTTAATTCGGCTTTCGAAATCCCACTTTTCAATGGAACTTAATGAAGGGAAGATTTGGAAATGAATGTGGCGAATAAACATACACTATAAAATCCTTAATTATAACTCCTTTTAATTGTCGAAGTATAAAGGGGAAACGGTTTCTTTTGCTTTTCTACCAAAACCAGTGCTTCTCAAGGGCTGAAGTTTTATAGCCATAAGTATAGGAAAATGCTTACTTCCTAATAGCTATTATCGTGTTTATGTTTTAGTTAATAAACTAAAATGGTTTTTGACACAGAATGTGGAAGTTGGAGTATTGATATCGAGATATCCAATTTCTCAATATAGGTAAACTAATTTTGTGCTATTTTTACCGTATACTACAGATTTTGTGCTTTTATGATTTTCGAGTTATTCATATTTTTAGAACTCGACGCCAACTATGTTGTAAAATTGGAGTTCTGTAAAGGAAAATCTTATTCCACCTCGATTCTTTTGAAATTCCTCAGAGAACATTTTGTAACGTATATTTAATTACGTGAGTCTTGAAATTAATTGATTTATAGCAGCGAAAATATTATTTAGCACTCAGATATACACAATTTATAACAGCGCGAACTATTTATTACTTCAGTGTTGAAATTGGAATTCCCTGCATCGCAATTCGATTTGCTTATATAGCAAACTCCGGTCTTTTACGAACGCTTCCGCAAGCTCTCTTATGTTCTTGAACAAAACACGTCATATTTCCTGGAAGGATTGCATCACATCCGCCTTCGTTCTTTATGGCCGATATCAGGATTTTTAAAATATTAGCTACATCGCTAATTTCGCAAGTATCCATATTTATGGCTTTCAGAAAATCTTCAAGTGCTTTCCGAATCTTGATCAAAGGTATTCTTCGCAAAATGTTTATTAATTCATTATAGATTTTTCAGATATTCTTCATTCTCAGAAATTTTTCACATCCACAAAGGTTCTTCAGAGATCCCTAAGAAATCCTACAAAAACTTTTCATTGTGACCTTAAAGAATCTTAAACTTCCTCTAACATTTTTGAGTTAATTTAGATTTTTATAAACGAGGTAGAAACAAATTAAAACTAGTGTTTTCTCTTGAAGATTTGGAGATCTACATTCGTGATTATACCGACATTCTTTAGGAAGGATTTAGAGTTTGGTTTGCCGACAAGATTGGTCTAGTCGACTGGATAATCGGCTACGACCAGGTTGAAATACGGGTTTAGACAAGGAAATTCTCTAATAGAAGCCTCATTCTTGGCCTGCAGAGGTTTCCCATAGAATCACTGCAGTGATGGTGAAACCCATGCATTCACAAAAAACTAACAAACCTCTAGATAACTCACACCAGAATGTCAGTCCTCTAGAAATTATGCAAACGTCTTTTTTAAAATCTGGGATAAATATGTCTCCTCTAGGAAAGATTCTCTAAAATAGCCTTATAGAATATTTACAGAATCATTAAAGGGTGTCCAAAAATAAAAATTTTCTGATGAACAGTTACAAGTCTCTGAAAAAGTTTTGAACAATTTTAAACAATCTACTTAAAATCTTTGAAGATCATCTCAGAAACTACTAAAGCATCGTCCAATAGTTTCTTGAAATAGTCCTAGGCGCTCTAAGAAGAAGCTTTATAATATAACGCAATAATCTGTTACGTTCACTTTGAACAAACGTAACCAGAAGTTCAGGCAAAGTAGAGATGGGTCGGGGGTACACTAGCCAAAATGAAGCAAAAAGGAAATATAGTAATAGTAAACCGGATAGGTGGCATTTATCTTTAGGAAATTTCAAAAGAGAAAAGAGAATAACCTTGTTCTGGTCATGCTATGTTAAAGAAATAAAATAATTGACAGGGTAAAACATAATCAATAATTGGATGATTTAATAAATGATCTCAAAATATTACAATCAAAAATCACTGTAATATCTGGATCTGAAATGTTTAAATATAAATCAATTTTTATCAAAAAGGGATCAACTCATAGCCTGGAAAATTCGAAACAGGCTTCCGCAGAAAACCACGGAGCTATAATTGTTAAATAACTATCAAACAAATGTAGTAGAATTCGATTGTATCGAAAACCAGTGTGTAATCAAACGTTAAAACAAGGAAACGTCGAAATAAAAAGAATTACCTTTCAAACTCTGGTTGTAACGACCTTTTGATCTCAGAAAGGCGCTTTCCTGCCTTATCTGCAACAGGTAACAAACAACAAAACAAGAGGGATAGTGAATAGCGCAGAAAATATATTAACACTTAATAAGAATCAATAATTCAATTTACGTTAACTAAACAAAACAAATTTCAATCTTTCCCAACTTACTTTATAAGAAATTGGTCACGAAACGTCTCTCTCTCTCTAATTAGTACTATAACTTCTAATGAGTACGAGAAAATAATTTCCTCTTTTTCCGGTCAGTTTTTAGAGGACCATTTTTGTTTAATTAATACCGACTTACGCCTTCAGTTGTAAATGCAGAAGAAAAAGTGTCCTTTTAATGAATAAATATAGCGATATAAAGGTGCGCGAAAACGTGAGGGGAGAAATAAATCATTTCTTAAGCTCATAAATTATTATACAGTTCCTACAGAGTTTTTGAGTAACTTACTTGGTTTGTCTCTCTAAAACGGACCGTATCAAATCCTTGCACGAACAATACGTGAACTGTTAATAAATAAGAAGGGAACTTCTATCCTCCTTTGTTATTTGTAAATAAATTCGGAGCATCCTAATCCTCGATGTGGCTTTCTACCCCTTGTTATTTATGATACTGACAAAGAAAAATTTATAATCGAAAAATCAACTGCCCTCTTGGGCTCGAATTTATTAAATTTCAACTTTCGGGATTTCTATTTCCAAAACAAAGAATTGCAGTTTGGTTTTGTCCTATTATTTGCAGCGGAAATATAACACTAAGAGGAAACTTCTTAGTTTAAAGCTCCCCGCGGTAATTTGGGATCTCATCCAATATTCAAATTCAATCTATATTTACTTTCGGGAATTTTCTCGAATATTTATAGGCGCATAAAAACGTTCCATTATCAAATGTTACAAATTGCGCTGCAACATTTAACAATGCCTTATGCCGGAAATTTTAATACATAGTGAGCCTTGCTTTTCTTGTACTTATCCGAACACCAACGATTACATTGCTGAGCAAGTGGAAAATTGAAATATCGTAACCTCCAACGATTTAATGCCTCGCATATAGTGGTTTTCTGGAGATGCAAATCCCGTTTGGTGCAGGAATCGCATTAAAGTTACTTGATTTATACGTAGTTCAAGTGAGAATGATATAGTCGTACACCAGGTATCCTGTAGTTCCAGCTGTTCACTCAGGAAGGATTTACAATGTTCGCTGTATGTTTCTTGAGTAATGTGCCTACTACAAAAGCAACAATTAACTCCTTTATTTGTACCATTACGTTAACTTAATCAGACTTCGGAGCTATAAGTTTAATTTAAAGTTATTCCTACCGTATCACAATGTTGTATTAACAACGGTTTATCAACGAAATGTAAGTAGCGCCCGAACTTTATTACGATGGTCCACGTGCCGATAATGAGTACGATCTTCGGCGTTTGAACGAGAAAGTAGAACCGATTAACTGGTTAAATGGATCAAATTTTCTATTAAATTACCTCCTAGCTATTTAAACGGAGGAGTATTGCAATTTATGATTTTTTATCAAAATTACAATCGGTGGTTCGTTTGGAATGGAAGCCCTATAATGCAACTGGCGCTTTCATTTTTAAAATGACACACCTAAAAAAACCATTTGTACCTGACACGTTACCAAGAGTAAAATATTTCATAAAGTGCAACATTTATGTCGCCCTAATTTATTTATTTCGCAGGAAAAGAAATATTCGTTTGTACGAAATTTAAAATATAAACTTTGCTTGAGAGTAAATTTCGGCGTACGGAATTTTACATTTTGGATGAAGTCCAAATCAAATCAAAGGGGCGCGTGGCGTTCCCGGCCTCTTCCAACACATATATTACATTTATTATTCAATCAGTTTTGTAAATGAAAACGTGTTTGCGTTGGTAACGATGAAATTATCTTTAATGAATGTCTAAATAATGCAAAGAAGTGATTTGAAAGGGCATCTTTCAAGATTGTGTGGAGGATACTTACGGTTGTGAGAGATGTTTCTGCGGAATCCACCTGAAACAAGTAATTGAAGTTTAGTATGATATTTTACATATTATTTGACGGAACTTCAAATCAATTGTCAGAATAGTTGTGAGCAAGCAGTATAATATGAGCCCGCTAAAGAGACCTGTAACTGAATAAAGTAGATCGATGCGTAGGCGAAAGCGCTTCAGAAACGAGGTTATTTATGTCAAAGTTTTCCTGTATTTTACCTGTAAACGGTCTGAACGCTCTATACTGCTTTATTAAATTGCGTTTTTTTTCTAGATTCCAACACCATGAAGATTGATCCGTTTCTAACACAATTTTCCTATAAATAAAATAAGGAATAAATTATTATTTTGTGAATTATGTACAAGAGGAGATAACGATCTGTTGTCGCGGTGTCTACGTGACTCGAGTGCCGCACACATTAGCGGCATTTAGAACCTGGGATGTCGATCTTTTGCAATTATAGGCTTACGTTGAGTGTAAAGATTTGTTACAACATAATACAGAGGTTGACAGCCCTTAATCGTACTAAATAAAATTAAAAGAAATGATTGAAATCTATTCAAGAAATAAAAATGTGTTTTTCCTACATTTTTTCTTACTCAAAAACTGTATACGTTTACGACGTGAACCCTCAATTACAATAATAAACATGGCAATTTTTACCAAAAAAAATACACACCTTATAGGTAACAAAACTGAATTCATTTAAAGAGGTATTCCCATTTTAAATGATAAAACAGTTTCAGTTTCAGACTTATAAAAATCGATTCCTTTAAGAATTATCTGCAATAAAATTTAAGGCAATTTCTTAAAGAGAACTGATAGTTATTTTTATACAATTCAAAACTTTTACGTTACTTTAAATACAGCGTTTTCCAGAATTTCTTTGGTTGGACAATATTGAATGGAACCTGGATTTCTTGAACAATTACTGGTGAGCAACCTTTGAACATTGAATGATGAGGAATGAACTTTGACCGTTCGGCAACTTTTGGATATTAAACAGCGAGGAATGGACTTTGACCAGTCGGTAACCTTTGGACTTTGAACGGCGAGTAGCGGACTTTGAACGGTAACCTTAGGACTTTACACCAACCTTGTACGTTGCTCCTTCTTATGCAGTGACGTTTTCGTGTATGGAAATGTAACTGTGCCACGATTCAAAAAACCTCGGACGGAGGCCGCTTAGTCACAGAGGGAGGGGAGTTGATTCCTATCAAGATAAGTAAATTTTCTCTATCTAGAGTAAATTAAACTTAAAGTCTTATTAATGTTTCGAATCCACCTTTTTTCGATTACCTTGTTGCCAAATTTACCTTTCCTATAATTTTATTATTTCGCACAGTTGCAAAATGACTAAAGTTCAAGGTACAATTGCTTTTTTTATTGACTTCAGCCTCTAACTATAAAATTATGAAAGCCCCCGTAGCTCAAATGGTTACGCGTACTGCGGGTTCAGATCCCAAGACTAATAAAAAAAATTTCTGCAGCAACCAAGATGACGAGTCCAACATCCAAGATGCTCCATCATGCAAGATGACGGGTACCCCTGCGCCAACTGCCGAAATATGATCCCGCGCCTCGGACCAACTGCCAAAATCGCGCACCCCGGACCAACCACCGAAATAATCACCACACACCCCTGAACCAACTGCCAAGAATTCCTCGGGCCAATTACCAAAATTTGGACCTTGTACTCCGGTCCAACCGCCAAAATTTGACCCGGGCCAACTGCCGAAATATTTTCTCGAGGTCCCCAGCGCGACTTAACTCTAATTTATGTGCCGGAAAAGTCCGATCGTACTGTTATAAATTTTTTACAGTTCTGAATATGAATTTTACTGATTTAAACGATCACAAAAGGAACTTGCGTAAGCGTTATCACTAAAGCGATAAATCAATACGTCATGCGGACGTTTTATTTGATGCCAGCACCTTGATTAATGGTAGGCCACCCTGTTTGCGTTTAAATCCATTTATTTTTGACGTTAAATGTGGTTATTAATTTAGAATGAACACAATTTTGATAATGTTATTCGAATTTGAGGTCAATGTGTTTTGTGTCAATTTTGTTTAAATAATCACTTGGTTTATTTTGTAAATAATTGCATTGTGTGATTTAAAATTATCTCCGGCCATTGCGATAAAAGTTTGTTATAGCTACGCAAAGCTAATTAAATTTCAGCTAAGCAGATGTTTTTCGCTGAAGAGAACACAGGTGTTCAGTTATCGTATGACGAAACCTGAATTTTGATACAGAAGTAGAAGCGGAAGGGAAGAAGGGAAACTAACATTTTCCTGATATAAAGTACGCATGAAAATGGTTTCATGACGATTTTGGGTAAAAATAATTTTCATCGACTCTCTCTTATTTATAACTTTTCCATACAACTGCCACCAATATCCATTTTCTAATTGTGTTTCTGATATTGCCTTTTTTTGGAATAACTTCCAAAGTGAAAAAGTTTGCCCTATTTACACGATCGGCAAACGCTAAACTTGCTTATAATGAGTTTTGTAACTAATTTCATCAGAAATTCCAATAAAACAATAGAAAACAATCTCGACTCACTATTAATTTAGATAACGACCCCAACTGGCTTACCACCCCATCCGAACCATCATAAATCCTCTAAAACCCATTAAATACCAATGACAAATTTAGGACGGGCTGGCGAATGTAGGTCGCAGGGCTACTAATGAAACTTGGAATTCATCGAATCAAATGCGCTGAAAGGAAAACGTTACTTTCAAATAATTGTCGCGATGCAATTGTTACGCTAGACGATAAAATAAAAACAATTAGCAACCCTCTCTTTCACCCTCGCTCAATAACTGCAAACCTTGGCCTAAATTTCTGAACGGATGGGCTTATATTTTATCTCCGAACTCCCTTAAAACAAACCGCCCCACTTTTATGATACCCGTTAAGTTTAATTGTAAAACAATCCCCCAGGTAAGTTCATTTCTTAGCGCGGAAGGGCAAGAATCGCGCGCGAGATTTACATACGGGGCATCTTATTGGTTTGCGGAAGTTAAATGGCTTAGGGATGACGCGGGGGTATTTATTTCCCTCGATAAATTCAAGACCTTTCTGATGCCCTCTGTGGATAGATGTACCGCCTTTGATCCTCGACGGAATTGTACTCGAGAGAATTGCTTGTTACCACAAAGATGGGATTCTCAAAGTCGCCCCTTTTGATATTAATTCAAAGAAGGTGAAGTGGATCATATATGTACTGAGTTGTGTTGGGAAATACGTTCATTAGAATAGAAACGTATGCGATATGATAAATGCGAAAACACTTTCATACGCCTTCTAATTATACGAAGAATAAGAGCTGCTGCAAGGAGACGGGTATGGTACCTAGCATAATGAACATTGGTGCTTCTTTTGAGGTGCGAAAACACGTTCCATAAATAATTAAAAAATCATGTTCAAATAGTTTCTCATAATTAGGTTGCATTAATTCAATTATTAGAGGGCTTACTTTGTTTTACCGCCCTTCAACACTTAAGTCCCGAAAAAAATATATAACAAGTTACAAAGTAATCGTAAACGATTTACATAAAGCGCATTTCCACTTGCATTCATTTCCCATTTGTAAGATGCAACTTCTGTTAAAATCGTAAAAATCCGGCCACAAATATGAAAGATAGCGTTGCACATGGGCAATCCATTTTTGACGTGCTACTTCAATTTCAGTTTATGAGAAGAATTTCATTTCAATGCTTTTCTAAATAAGAAAGTTGGAACTGCGCATGCGCAAACCTAAATTTTAAAACTAATGTTAGATTTTCCTTTGTTCCAAGCGCCTAAGTATCAAATTTCACTTAAATAGTTCCATAGATAAAAAAGTTGGCATGCGAAAAATAAAATTTTGAAACTGGCGCTAGATTTTCCTTTATTCCAAGTGCCTATGTATCACATTTCGTTTAAATTCTTCCATAAATAAAAAAGTTGGCACTGCGCATGCGCAAAGCCAAATTTTGAAACTGGCGTTTGATTTTCCTTTATTCGAAGTGCTTATGTATCAAATTTCGTTTAAATTCTTCCATAAATAAAAAAGTTGGCACTGCGCATGCGCAAAACCAAATTTTGAAATTGGCGTTTGATTTTCCTTTATTCCAAGTGCCTATGTATCAAATTTCATTCAAATACTTTTATAAGTAAAAAAGTGTGCAATTCGGTTTATAAATGGTCGAGATGCGAAAAGGGCACTGTGAATTTTGAATCGATTCGATTCAACTTTTGGCATTGCGTATTATATGGCTAAAACTATGCCCATATTGAATTTCATGCAATTCAGTTCATAACTAACGGAGATGTAAAAGTGATCGAACATTTCTAAACAAAGTTATCGTTCACACGGACAGATAGATGGACAGACAGACAAAGGAACAGACGGACAGACCAACAGGCAGACGACAGATAGCAATGCAAAATTATAAACGATCTCTAGGATCGTTAATAAACGGCAAAAGTGTAAAATTATGGAACATGTAAAAAACGGTTTTTTGTTTTTTTTACAATAACTTTTTTTGTAAGCGGTACAGAAAAAATTCCTTCCTTGGTACAAGACTCGAAACCATAACGAACCAAATAGCGAAAAAGTAGAACAATAGCTCTTAAGATAAAGAACTAGTAGCGTCGCAAAGTTAGCGGACGGACGGACAGACGGACGGACGGACGGACGGACAAAGTGGCCACAATAGCGCATTTTTTTTTATTTTTGTGGAAATGCGCTAAAAATGCGCTATTGTGGCCACTTTGTCCGTCCGTCCGTCCGTCCGTCCGTCTGTCCGTCCGTCCGCTAACTTTGCGACGCTACTAGTTCTTTATCTTAAGAGCTATTGTTCTACTTTTTTCGCTATTTGGTTCGTTATGGTGTCGAGTCTTGTACCAAGGAAGGAATTTTTTCTGTACCGCTTACAAAAAAAGTTATTGTAAAAAAAACAAAAAACCGTTTTTTACATGTTCCATAATTTTACACTTTTGCCGTTTATTAACGATCCTA